GGCGGGCGCGCGCTGGGTGGCGAGGCGCAGTTGTTCCTCTGCCAGTTGGAGGCGCGCGATCTCCTCGCCCACAGCCTTGTTAGCGTGGCAGACCTGGCTCTGGTACAGCTGCGCCAGCCCGCGGAACGCCGCTTGCTTGGACGTCATCTACGCAGAATCGGGTGGATAATTCTTTCTTGTAACGGTGTCTCAATTCAAGTGCGTCGCCTCGACTCATCGACCGCGCTCGGGTCGTCCTGTACAGATCGACTCACCACATGCAGCCAGTCCCGGTCCCACAGCGCCTTGAGCTGCTCCTTGTTCATGGCGCGCAGGGCGTCCGTGTACAGCTCGTCGCAGTGCGCACAGACCTTGGCCACCATGCTCTCCTTCATCTCGTCTGCAACACGCGCGCTGTATACTACGAGTGGCCTGGCGTGCTGTACGGTACTGACTACCACTTACTGACTACCACTTACCGCGGATGCACTTGTAGGCGATGACCTCCTGCGCCTGCGCCAGCATGAGCTTGGCGAGCGCGTCCAGGGTGTCGGGGTTGAGGTCGGGCGTGGTCTCCTGGTGCACCGCCATCATGATATTCGCCTTCAGGTAGGCGAAAACGCCCGCGGCTTGCTGTGGACACACGGCTCATCTCACTCACTCAATCACTCACACACTCACTTTCTCCCTATCCCTAGCAAACAATAGCAGCTACGAACTTTCAATGTTTTTGCCATTGCAAAAAAACAGAGCAAAAAAGCAAAGTTTTTACCTGATCTGAATGTTGTTAGGAAATAAATAGAATTAATCAATCTTGGATGAAAGTTGAAAAAATAAAACGAGAACCAGCTGGATTCATGCAAGGGATGCAGGGCTTCAAGTTTGTATAGGACATAGTTGTAATATAGAAGGAGATATGGTGTGGAGTCAAAGATGTATGCAAAACAGGTGAAGCCACAACTGCCCCTCCATAAAACTAATATTACACACACAGTTCTGACAAAACAATACTACGAATAAGTGCACACACGCGGCTTCGATAGCTCAGTAATTCAAATATAAGCCTTATTCTTTAAACAACAGCGCACTTTCTCCTATGATTTACTGACAGTGTTACACTAAGGTGGTTGTAAAAGAGCAATGTATTAATGAAGACATAATACAGTCAGAGTAATAAAGAAAAATGAAGTAATAATTTGTTGTTTTTCGTGATTTTTAAGATAAATATATGATCTTACACATGGTAACAGATGCCATGACTTCTACAGTTTTTGTTTTAGCTTATATTTCTGCACAAAACCACTGCACAAGGCGGCATTATATCGTTTGCTGGACGATTGCGCATGACAACAGACTAACTCGCGGTGACGGCCATATTTTCCTACATTGAGCAGAACGCTCAATTGCGGGTGTCATTGACACGCCACCTTGCCACTTGTCCTTTTTTAATATTTCTATTCTATGGTATAGGACAACTTATTTAGGTTAATGATTTAAATTAAAACAAATAAAGATTTTTTAAGGAACTAGGAAATTTTAGTTAATAGGGGTGAGATAGGGGTTGGATATACCTGAAAGAGCTTAGCTGCTTGCTTGAGGGACTCTTCAGTCTCCACTGTCTGCTGTGATGCGATCAGGCTCTGCATTGCACCCATATTGAACAGGATGCACATGCGCTCATATGCCAGGGAGCTAATTGCTGTGGACCATGGTGTTCTTACAGTATTTCTATTAGTGATGTGCCACATCATGTGAACTATATTGCATGAAGTATAGTCAATGTGACACTGAGTGGCGGATAACATTATGGGTAAATGAGAATGTACATAATAATATAGTAAGCATCACAGTTGGCAAGCACAGCTAACTGCTTCCACAGAAAGTTGTTGTTGTATAAAGACAAGTATTCTGTATTTACTGTATGTTTTACAGTTAGAATGGCAACTAGGCAGTGAGGTCAGTGAGGTGGGAGGTAGGTCAGTCATACTCACTCAAGCTCATCCTCCCTCCAAACAAGGAGCCCTTGTCAAAAGCATCTTTCCACTTGAAGGGAATCTGCACCTCCTGAGGCGGAATCTTGGCCTCCAGAGAAGCCAGCTGGTCATAGTAACTGCAATAACACACGTGAATTTATCACATTACACTTATTTAACTCTTAATGATACGTGACTACGCCTTATTCTCACGTCAGGTTTTTCCTTGTTTGTATGTCTACTGTTTGATGACATCACTTTTTACATTTCCACTAACGTCGACGAATGAAAATCTTTGTAAGTCAGTTATAAAATTACATGAAGATCCTTCATTTTTAGTGATTCGTAATGATTCAATTGTTGAGAGTGAGTCATGCGACGTAAATACGGTATTTACTTGTAGATAACCTCCAGCGACGTTTTCTCGAATACTTTCCAAATTGCATTTGCTCTCAATCGGCTAAGCTCGTTAAGGGCATCTGTATAATCTTCATGTTGGTCACTGGTATTGTATGTCGAGTTTATCAAGTTTCTCAGCGGTTTAATAATATCTACATCAGACCCTTTTTTAAAAGGTACAAACAACAGTTCCGAAGCCATGTCTGATCTACGACTAACAGATTGTGATTGTGACAGTGACACTGACAATCAGTGACACTTGACAACCCTTCATGGCAACTTACCATTACCATTACCCAATTGGGTAGTGCCTTAGGTTTAAAGTAAATTGTTTCAACTTTTCAATGCAATAAATAATTAATAAATAATCATACTGCCATTCACTGATTAGACTATTTATCTAATTTGGATTTTATCTCTCTAATTTTAAGGAATTAAGTATGGTATTTGACGCAGAAATATGATGACGTCATAAGTTGCGATCCAATACAAAATTCTTAGAAAAGAATTTTCCAATACAAAATTCGTTTTATTTAATTGTTTAGTTGTAAGTAGTTAATTTTAAGTTATAAATATTTATGTAGTTATTTAAATTAGAAAAGTATCGTTTTTGACATATATGAAAGGAGAATGGCAGGTTTGTATGGAGGTTTTGTACCGCCATAAAATTTTGTATTCGTCATTGTTTTAGCCAAGTGAATGGTCTAAACGATAGATATTTTTATTATGAAGTTTAGAAAAAAATTACATATTTTTAGAACTTTGGGTTCAAAAGTTATTTCACTTTGAAAATGTGCAGAAGGTACGTAAAGTCGGTATTACACTTGCCATTGCGTATTCGCTTCATTTGTACAAATATTTGTGAACTACGTACAAATGGTGTCCAAATAGTATCTATAAATGTAAAAGCGTGCAAATATATGTATATAGCAAATGAAAACGAATAAACTCTCCACATATGGTCTGTTTTGGCCGAACACAACAAATACGAAAGTATAATGCCACCTTTACGCAAAAGTACATAATTTGACAAATGACAGATGACAGTTAATTGAAAAGTGTCAATGTGGACTTATTCATTTGGTTGTTTTGTTTACAAACTAAACTCTAAACACTGCTCGCTACTCGTGACTGTTACACTTTGTATTATGAGTAAATTAATTAACTGTTAATTCAGCAAGTATGTTGTAACTATAGAGTTTTACAGAGTATGCTTTACAATCTTTTTCATTTTCTAGGTGCCTACGAAAATGCAAATTAATATTGTGAGCGACTGTCATTGGGTAGAAGGCCTACATTTTGCAGTGGACGTCTCGTGGCGGATATGATAAAACTAATGTCTCACTTCACCTTGAATCTTGCGGGCAGATGCAAGATTTAATGTGTAAAATCAAGATTCGAGGCAGAGGCCTGATATACAAATAGTCTTTAAGTTAATTCGATTTAAACTTAAGCTTAGCTCTTTGAGTAAGTATTTCTTCTGAAAACTGGTTGCTTAGCACGCGTGTAAGGTTTAATTTCTAATAAGTAAGTCAAATAAGTAAAATAATCATCAGTTTCATCATTAACAGTCTATAAGTGGCCTATGCCGACCGAAGGTCTCTTCTCACTGGATTAGGTTTAAGCATTAACTCTTTGAGTACCGTAATTATAGACACAATTAAAGAACAACAGGTTGTGGTCACCGGTGACCGCTCTGTGTTTGACAATTTAATCACTACGCTTGCTAAATGTGGGTTGGTGATTTCAAACTTATAATTAGAAATTATAAGCCCAGGTTTCCTCACAATGTTTTCCTTCACCGTTTGTCATTGGTGTCTTTGTACTTTCTTAGATTATTAAATTAAATAATAAATAAAAAAAATATATAACTCGAAAAAGTCACATTGGTACTTTGCCGTTGCAACTTGCACTCTCATGCATGAGAAACGGGCTTCTTAAACCTCCTGGCCACCACAACACAACTAAAGAAATGTTAAATGAAAATGAACATTTTTGCTATAAAACTAAAGCAAACTAAAATAAAGATGGCATTTATTTTATAGATGGTTTATTGTAGTTGTTTATATATAGTTACTAGGTACCTGTTTAAACTGTCAAACACCAAGCGGTCACCGGTGACCGCAACCTATTGTTCTATAATTGTGTCTACAAAACTGGTACTCGACGAGTTAAAATAAAACAAATGTATTATTTTGAAATACTTTTACTTCATTGTATTTAGGTTGTATCTAGGAGTACTTCTTCTAAAAAAAAAAAACAATCAGCCGAACATAGTACCTCCTCCTTTTTTTGAAGTCGGTAAAAAGAGAGCAGGCGGTGTCATACAGCACACACTTCATTAATTACTGATATCTGTAAACAAGTAAGATAACGGTAAATAAAGTAAACAAAATTACATTTTTTCCATTAGTTTCACATGTTATAATAATGTCTGATTCCCTATCTCAAAATAGAAAAGATAAAAATAAATATTTGATTAAATTATTTGATTTTACAATATTAAAATGCCTTTAATAGGGTATTCCTATAACACAGATCATAGGAGCTCAAACAGCATGCTAATTAATCAATTATTATAATTATAACATGTGTATAAACCTATTATAAACCAGTTATACCCTTCACATACCTATTGAAGCTCTGACAGCCGATCAACGTCTTTTGGCCTCATCTGTTCTACAAACGGCAATGTTAAAGTAAGGCTTAGTCCATGTTTACATAACACATTACATCCTGATAGTGAACACTATGAGGTGGTATGTCAGGTTGTGGTCTTATAGTTCCGACTCTTGTTAAGGCTCTCAGCCAGCATGGAACACGATCTTCATCATTGGAAGTAAGCTAAAAAAAGTAATATTATTAGAATGTCCTATTGACTTTAAATTATTTGATAATAGTATATGGTTAATACCATAAATTATTACCTCTTGTGGCTGAATCCAATCAGATACTATATGAGCTAGTCTTTGCTCTTGTTCGTTGGCGCCTTCAATTAAACCCCTGCGTCACCTTATCCTTGCAATGGAATGCCCACATACAACACAGACATGTTGATGATCAGTTTGTTTGCTGGACATACTTTCAGGAACATCCCAATACATTGCTAATTGCCAGCAAGTATGGCAAATATGGTCGGTAGGAGAGATCTAGAATAAAATGATACATTATAGGTAGATAACACTATGCCCCCTTTATTTAGGCAACAAGGTGACTTTCGATACGTCATGTGTAAACTAGGTAAGTACCTACTTACATCTCTAGGATAAGTCCACAATGGGATACTGTTGACCACGTCTAGCCGGACTTCTCATGCGACAATCTGTGGTTGTAATTAATGCACTGTAAATTCGTCATCGCGACAAAATACAACACACTATGCACAAATGAAAATAAGTGTATTTTCGCAATTTCGGCTACCGAGGAACGGCGGCCCAACTCAACGTATCACCAGATGAATAAAATGACTTCCAATTTGTACAAACACATCATAACACCGCATTCGAAACCAACAGCAAGGCGCACTTGACATTGACAAATCGTCTTCAACAACAAATGTCAAATACCAGTTCAACATTGCCATATTCAAGTTTGTGAAAATGTTAATTATCGTTAATAATCCATGTAGACCTCACAAAATGAAATTAAAATAATGATATTTACTTATAAAAAATGTTTGAAATGGAAAGGAAAATATTCCATTGATATTAAAATAAATGAGTTTATGAAATAGCGACATTCAATATACTCTGATTTCATGTTTACGCATGGCAACTTTATAAACGTCAATCGCGGTTTGTTTTTTATTTATGTAGCCGTTTTGTTGATTGCTTCTTATCATTATTGAATATCAGATTTTCTAGGGTTTCCCAAGTTCTAAAAATCTATTAAATATGCTAACATAACGTATTTAGAGGATTCTATAGCTGCCCAATTGCCCTAGGCAAAACAATGACAAATCTTTTTTTAGCAAAGCGGTACGAAATCTGCCGTTCTCCTTTATCGTTTTTGACATGTATTAAATTTAACTAACTGTCAACTACCGTATTAAAATATTTGCATTGGCAACAAGAAAAGACTGAAAAGCTTTTTTATGGTTCTTTTTTTTTTTTTTTTTTTTTTTTTATTTCAGGCATCACAGGCCCATATAGAATACTATAAACTAATACATTAAAGATTTATAAATACTATACATACATTACAAACAAAATAATTACTCAATTAAGTACTTAATAACTATTAGCTTTAGCATATCAGTGCTGAAAAGGGAGAATACAAAATGCATAGTCCAAACATTAATTCCTAGTTATACGTATAATGGTAACCATCATTCTTTGTCCTTGTTCTGTCAAGCCAAGCGACAAATTAGTAATGGCTTCTTTTACCTGTAGTCACACAAACCGCAAAAAAATTGGTTCAGCCAATCGAGTTCAGTCATTTAAAAATGTTTTTGGTAACTGTTGATTTTGTTTATCTTGGATTTTATTTACTTTTTTTACCGACTTACAAAAAAGAACATTATTATACCTACCTATTTATAATGAAAGACAAGGGCGCTACCTCGGCCTCGGTAGCATTATAGATAGGATGGAATCTTAAACATAAGACATAGCCAAGCACTGATGTGATGACTTCCCCTATACATTATTATACTCTTTGGTGATGACGCGGGAAGTTTTCAATTGTTTGCCACGTCAAGCATTAATTTTGTCTCAACGTCGGGTCGTGAATTGTGAAAAGAAAATACAAAAATATGATAAATTTATAGCAAAATTTATAAGAAAAAAATGGTTATCAAAACAGTGTCCATTTCCAAACCGTGAGTCTTAATTTTTACGTTTAAACATATAGGAACCTATATATTGTGAATTAACGTACCTAAATAATAGGTGGGGTATGTTATCATCAAGAAATAGTAGATTTCATCCTAGGTGTACTACGTTCGAATACATTTAGAAGAGACTATAGTCTCTTCACTCACAACATTATAATGTTGTGAGTAGCGGAGTAGGTAGGTTACTTCTTTAGCTATTTTACAAGTTTCATTATAAAGAATCTGCATAGGTACCTACGTACGTATTTTCATACCTATTTATTATAATATCTGAGTGAGTGTTTACACAATAATGTATTTATGTACCTACTTATGAAAGTTGCAATTCATTGATACACGTGGGAGTGTGTTGTCCAATGGGAATAAGGCGGGTTGAGCATGCGCGGTCCGTCTTCGCAGTCGTCCTCAGCGGTTCTTGCACGAGCGAGCGAGTCCGCCGGGAGTGGCCGCCTCGACACGTCGCGCCGCAGACGCCCCGCCGCCGCCAAACGCTCGGAGCCCCGCGGGCCCCACGCCGGCGCCGCAAGTAAGTGTGTGCGCCGCCGCCGCCCTGTCACACGCTACCGCTGATACTTTCAATAAAAAACTTCGCAATCGATACTGGCAAAAGGTTCTATTGTTTTGGTTACTGTAACTGCACGTCAGCGTCAGAGTCAGCCAAGCAGACTTCCCCAATGACACGTCACGCCATTGTATCCAGTTTTACAACTGTTGCTATTCATGTATAACGTATCAATAACTATATATAAACACAGATAAGCATAAACATAAAATAGTGCTGTATGAAAATAAGACTGTGCTGTTAAATAAAAATACCTACTCATGAACTTTATTGTTTTGGAGTGAGGACCTATAAGTGATTGGAAGAGTTTAAACAAATTGAAAATAAAAATAGGTACACAGGCCAGAGAGCACTTCGGTGTACTTACATACTTTATATCTAAGGACTATCATGACCTCATGAATAGACAAGAATCCAGCTGAAGTCTGGTCAGCAACTGTAGCCAAATGCCATTTAGCGCTTGTCTACAGAGAGAGTAGAAATCAAAATGTATGGGGATGACACCGACAAGTGTTAAAATTTACGTCAATTCCATAAAATTTGGTTTTTCTACATGTAGACAAGCGTTAAATGGCATTTGGCTACAGCTGCAGCTGCAGGGTCGTCAGTAGCGCTCGTGCAAGATGCACCTGTCGGTGGACTGTGTCAACTGTGTGACACTGGGAATGACTCTACGTTCGCAATAAGCATAGTTTGTGTGTCGTCAGGAGTCCACGACCCAGCTGAGTAGCAATGGTTCAGTCACTAATAGCATAAAGAGGAAAGATTTGATTTTTGTTTGTTTGATTGAATTGAATACGCTCTGAAACTACCGGACCGATTTGAAAAAATATTTTTCCTACATTATCGATGATGACCATGGGCTATATCTAATAAGACAGAAAAAAGGGAACTGTGTGAAAATTTCGATAATGTAAAATGTAACCCGATGTAAAGTACCTACTAAAAAACTCCTTATAAGTATTGCCTTTGACTCCCAATAGAAAACTGTTTTCAAGGACTAAATAATAATAGTATTTAGCTGCATCAAAATAAGAGATTTTAAAGCAAAAATACGAATTCAATCCACTGAATGGGTATATTTTATTCATGGATTAGCTTCTGCCCGCGGTTTTGCTCGCGCTCTAAGTATTGAGGGCAGGTTTACAAAAGATAAAACCGAATTGGTGTCCGATGTTTTGCTGGTCACAAATATGATACCACTTTTAGGTTTCTTTAAAATTACGAAATGCTCCATACTAACTTCCAGCCCCTGGAAGTGTCGGGTTAGAAAGAAATAACATGTAGCTTGCTACTTTTAATCCTTTCAACTAACTCCACTCAACACGTCGATTTATGCCAATGGATGATTGACAGTTTTTATTTGTTATATAATTATCATTGCGGTATGCAAAGAGGCGGAATACTAATATTATTAACCACTGGACCTTTTTGATTGAAATTAGATTCAACGAGAGTTTGAGACATGATTGTTCTATCTCAGAAATCCCACGGGATAGGAACTGCGTTAAACCTATGGCCCTCTCTATCTTTAACTCGTCGAGTACCGGTTTTGTAGACACAATTATAGAACAATAGGTTGCGGTCACCGGTGACCGCTTGGTGTTTGACAGTTACCATATTTGAGTCGAATTCGGTACGACGGCGGTAGTTTAAGACTCTGAAAATGACCGCTTTTACGTATTTGATTTGATTTCCTTTTCAACCGAATTGATTTCCTTTATTTTGTTATGGGCTAGTGGCAGCGACTTCTTACCTTTCAGTGGATGGGTAACCTATAAGTACGTATTACTAATAATAGTTACTTCTTGTTTTTACCTTTTGCTTATTTTTAGGTATTCATTTTCGAAGTCGGTTTTTTCGTTACAAAACCTTTTATTCTGCGTAAGAATACCTATCCATAAAGGGCATCTTATTCCTATTGACAAGTAGGCCCAACATTACTCCGTATCCTTCATTTTTTGTATTTAAACTTTCGCGCGACAAATTAAATTCATTATTATTTATGTTTAACGGCTTACTCATGTAACTTATCCTTTGTCCCTGACGATGTATTCGAGACAGACAATGATTATCATCAACAGATTAGGTCGTAGGCAGTTGTAACGCCTGTATCACCAGTGTCTGATCTTTCGTCCATCAACGAGCTCGTATTGGATGGTAGTGTAGATGGGATCTTCTATTAAGGGCCGCCACCTATATTAGTTCTTCCCATCCGTGCATGAACGGCTGGAGAGGATATGGTTGGAGGTGGATCACTGTGTTGCCCAATTTCTTACTGGTCACGGCAACTTTAATTGTTCTCATTGAAACTTGTTGATCACCATGGTGCCAATGTTCAACAGCGGACCTGCAATACGAGCAGTCCGCCCATCACACTCTGGGAGTGTGATCTCTGGCAATATGAACGTAACATTGTTAAATAATTTAATTGCTTCGTCAGGTGTTGCTTATTATACGGACCTTGTGGAATCTAGAACAAATTTCCGTGCGATTAGGCGCTTTGGCCATACCTATTATTGGAAGCAAGTATTACAGTAACAGCTCACACATAGGACCCACTTGTTTTTAGTTAAATAATTTCCGTGGTGTTTAGCGACTGGGCTAGTGGGCTTCACCCAATGGTACAGCCTCTTCTTGTGCCTTTAGGCACACAGGCTTTCTTTATTTATGTATCTTCATGGTTGTATCTACTGTAGATCGTGGCTTACAGGAGTTGCAGCGGTTTTGGGAGGTTGTGGCGGGCTTGTCCCATTACTCAAGTAACTGTCTAGCGAGATGGTTTGCGTCGCGCAGTGCTGCCTATGAATATGAGCCCCTAAAGTGGCTTGAAACTAGTCGAGTTATATCTCGAAACAGTTACGGAAGTAACAGTAAGCCGTTAAACATAAATCATTTATTTCTGAAATGTATTTAATATGATTATCATAAAATATGGGAGATGAAATGAGGGAGAGCCATGCTTCAACACGAAGAGGCCGACTCGATCAGAGTGACGACACTACACCTCCTCACAGAAATCATCCAGAATGAAACAATGCTTGCGTTGTGTCTCGCCGCGTGACTGGGGTTACTGGAGGCCCCACTCTTCCTCTCAAGAATAATCAATCAATCTCCCAAATACTCAAATCCCTAATCTCCAAAACCGGCAACGTACGTATGTAGATACTTGTAACTCACTCCTCGCGAGCGTACGTGTACTACATACTTTTGGAATAACCAAGAATCCAAACAAATTATGTAACCCAAATAAAATTGGATAATTCACAAAATAACTCGAGTAATAAAGAACTACACACCTAATACAAGAATGGGACGTATGACTTAGTATTGAAATATTTGAATTCAGGTGTAAGCCGCGTTAAACGGTTTGCTTTCGTAGAAAGTAAGTGGTTGCGACTTCAGGAGTCCCGCAGTAACGACGCGGTTGTTGCAGAGGCCGCGTGGCGCCGCTTGCGCACTCCGACCTCGCCGCGCACCGCCGCATCGCTCGCCGGCCACGCCGCAAACACGCGCGGTACGTCTTGACGTAATCATGATGAGGTTTTATCTGTAACATTATAATATTTATGTAGGTCCTCAGGTACTCTACAGCTCGGCAAAATAATGTGAAAATGAGTTTAATCTATTTAACATACAGGGTGTCCTTGAAGTCGACGATCATTTGGCACCAGATGATCGGCAAGATTCCTACAGTTATTAAAAAAAAAAATCCAATTCCGATAGTTTTAAAATTATAATGACTCATAAGTTATACTGGTGTACTTGTCACGGGTGGGACAGGGTGTACCTTTTCGTGGATAACACATATTATGTTATCCACGAAAAAGTACATTCTGTGCAAGTCTTCTGATTCTTGTTGCTACAATTCTTTATTTGTCGTCTGTTTTATTGCTTACGTTATCCTGAATAGTGCTTCAATATTATGGAATCATAAATTCTGAACCAACTGATTTATTTGAGAAAAGAATATAGTTTTTTGATGAACCAAGTATTCTCAATAAAATTTTAATTATTTTAAGTGAGTGTACTGAAAAAAAATTGTACTGCGGCAGTAGTGGCAAATTTCACCAAAGTTAGCGCATTTAATAAGGATTCTAAAATGGTAGGTATGTAACTCCCTACATTATTTCTTAAATTCGACACAAACATTTTTTTTCAACGAAAACTCCGTTTCGAACAATTTATTAAGACTTACTAAAATTTATTCTAGTATTCCCAAAGCGCACCTAAAAACCTCGTATGCACTAGGTAACACTTTGCACGCAACATGACGTCATCATTATGTTGCTAAACATGCCGTACCTGAGGCGGTGCTCAGCCCACGCAAGGCATTCTCCTACTGTGTGTTCCACCGTGGCCTCAGGGCGATCCTCGCAGTGATGACACCCGAGCGTTTTCTCCTCCTGCCCTATCAGACACAGGTACCTCCCGAAGCTCCCATGTCCGGTGGGGACGTGTGCCAGGCGGTAGGTGAGGACGCCGTAGCGTCTCTCAAGCCACTCCTCAAAGAGGGTCCCCTCTTCACCGAATTTTTTCTTATAACTATAGTAACTTTGCCGATTACTTGATGCCATTTGATTGTTGACTTCAGGGCCAACCTGTATAAAAGTCGTAAAAATATTGTTTTAACAAATTGGAAATTTTCGGATAGTGTCAAACACGAGACAGAGTCAGAAGCTGGAGACGTGATCGATCTAGGCGCCCCGCGCCTGTTGCTGCGGCGGGCGCCAGCCGAGCCCCGGCAGCCAGGCCGGCCGCGGACTCGGCAGCCCTACACGCCCAACCCGCGCCTGTACCCGGGGCCCCGGCCCAAGCACAAGCTGAGACCCAAGCGTGCCGATCCTCGCGGAAACGAAGGCCGTGGCCGACGCCGCAACCGCGTGTTCCGGCGGCCAGTGCCGAACGCGCGCCTGTATCGGCCCGCGCCCCCACGCCCCCCTCCCCCGCCCGCCTGGCCGCGAGCTACCTGGCCGCCGCCCGTACCTGCCGCGCGGCTCGAAACCGCGTCTCGCGCAGCTTTGCGCTTGAGCGAGCAGCGGCGCGGCTTCCGCGCACCACAGCGTTCGCTGCGTTCACCGGTTCGTCCCGAGCGCTTGCTAGTCCGGGCTACACGTTCGCCCGCGCGCCGGCATTCGCCAGCGTTGGCACAGCCCTCGGGGACCGTCTCGCTCTCGCAGCCCTCGCGGCGCCTGGTGGTGACTCTGCCGGCGCCGCCCAGCGACTTCGTCTCGCCGCCGCCTCGCTACCGGCCCGCGAGCGAGCACTTCCGGCTGCGCTCGCAGAACACGGAGTCAGGCACGTCGAGCCCGGTGGCGGGCCGGCCGGTTCTGGGCTCTCCTGTGCCTGCCGCCGCGCCCGCCATGGATACCGGAAACAGACATTCCACCAGTCCGGAGGACTGTTCCGACGGTAACGAGACCTTGTCCGCGCCCAGCGAGTTCCTGGCGGAGGTTAGTTTCATTAAACGGATCAGTTGCGCCGACACACTCGCCACTGACACATCAGACATGTTGCACACACATAGACACACATACAGACATGTTTCATCTCCCAACCTATTTTAATATTTTTCAGTAATTGACGCTTTAAAAATGATTAATACTCTAACTACCACGTTGGCCGAGTGGTCGCAAATGCGACTGCCGGGCAAAGGGTCTCGGGTTCGATTCCAGGGTAGGAAAAATATTACCAGGTTTTTTAAAAAAAAATATTTTAGTACGGAGTCAGGAATTGTGCCTGGTATATGGCAATACCAAATTTTTTGTTTTATAAGTAATGTTATTGTAATTGAATATGTCAGCACATTTTTAACCTGAAACACAGGCTTGTACCTAGTTCAGGTTTTATATAAACTTACGACTTTCCTTAGATAATAAGATTTATTTTGCAATCTGGCTTTTTACACCAAATAAACATTATTATTATTATAATAGGCTCACCCCCTATTACATGGGAAGTTGTGAAAAGTCTGTTACATTCTACATTGTACAGTGGCATTAAGTGCCGTAATGTGCACCTCTGCCTACCGCTTCGGGGATAAAACGCGAGATGTTATGATAGCAGTTTAACTGCCACACTTGAACAGATTTCTCATTCCTGATTCCATTTAGATAGGTATGAGTACATATTTTGATCTCGTCCACGCTCACCTCACTTACCAAAACGTGGCAGTAGTGATCGGTGTCGTGTCGCGTTCCAGTTCCTGTCGGCGATCATGCGGCGTCAGTACGCGGAGGCGCTGAAGTACTGCCGCCTGATTCTCCAGTACGAGCCGCACAACGCCACGGCGCGCGGCTTCTACCCGCTGCTGCAGCACAAGCTGCGCGCGCAGCCCGCGCCCGGGGCGGCCGGACCGGCCGGGCCGGCCGGGGCGGTCGGGGCGGCCGGGGCGGCCCGGGCTGTCCGGGCGCGCCGGCCTCTCACCGCGCCGCCACACGCCGCCTCCGGCGCGCACCAGGTACTGTACTGCCAGCCTATACAGGGTATTTGGCGCATGCACCTACACAATATTTATCAGGGATTTGGAAGGTCCTAACTTGTTTACCCGAAAACCCTTCGTCGCCTGTGTCATGGTTGGTCACATATGTTTATATTTATGAAAAATTATTACTGCAACTCAAAATAACTTTCTGTTTGTGGGTCTAATGGCTCAAAATATTTTTTCTTGAAAACTAAGTTTGTAATGGATTTTAGTTATTTTTTATACTTAATTTAGAAGTTGAAAAATTTCAAACGTGTCTAAGAAAAATTAAACTTTGGGAGCTTGTGAGTAAATTTTTGGAAACCATTTGTAATAAACAAAGGTGTATTTAGATTTAGTAGACTTGAGAGTATGCAACAAGATTTCTTTTGGACCACTAGACCCACAAACAAAGTTATTTCGGGTCAAAACAAAAATTTTGGGTTTTTATTTTTCATTTTAATAAAATAAAAAATCATTTACATATTTATTTTATTTATTTATTTATTTATATTTAAACATTACATTTATCATCACAGGCACACCTAATACAATAAATGCAGGTACACATTATAAGTAAACTTATTACACAATATCCCCTAGTAACCGTAAAATAAATTAGACCAAGAAAATCAAAAGAACATAAGCACATAGAACATTAATTAAACTTACAGGCTAATACATTTTCATAAAACTATCCCTAATAAAGTAAAATAACTTTAGTAATAACAAATATGTACTTATATTTTTAAAATCTATGTACCTAGGTATTAACAACATAAATTATATAACTAGAATCACATAAGTACAAATCCTAGGAACTTAGTTATTATTCACAACAGCCTCATATGCTACCTTTGTGAACTCGTTGAGTGTACACGAAAATATATCAGTACTGTCCGCTATTGCATTCAATATGCGCAACGCTCGCGTCATTGGTGCCTTCTGCAAGAGGTTCGTGCGTGCGCACGGTACCAGCAGCAGTCGCGGCCGCCGCCTACGCCACACGTACTCGTCCGGAACACACAGCCGTAATGTCTCCAGTAGGGCAGGGTGGTGCGTTATACCTCGCAACACCTTAAATATATAAGTAGCTATAGATACTTCACGCCTCACCTCCAGTTTGTAGTATCCTACCATACCCAGTACAAACAAAGTTGGATATGGTATTGGGTATCCAGGGTATATACCGTACAATTTTGAATACATGAATCTGGCAAACTTATTTTGGATACATGAGGATGATTTCTATCATGAACTTATATTTGTATCATGTATCATCCAGATACCAGAGTTACACTCCAAGTGACTTTTAACTAAAGCTTCATAGAACGCCCTTAAAGCTGCGTTGTTATTGAACTCGTTTGCCTGACGTAAAATAAAACCTAGATTGCGGTATGCCTTCTTGCAGACATCCATAATGTGTTTCCTGAAGTGTAACTCTGATACAAAATGGACTCCTAAATCTTTCACCTCCGTAACGCGCTGTAACAGTTCACCTTCCATGCAGTATCGGTGGTGACGGGGACTGCTTGCACGAGTGAATGACAGAACTGAGCATTTAGCAACGTTGAAATACAACTTGAATTCCCGGCTCCACTCAATGACTCTGTCAATATCGTGTTGTAAACTAACATGGTCCTCGTTATCCCTTATTTCGTGTATAAGTTTTAGGTCATCGGCAAAAAGTAGGCATATCGACCCTTTTATTATGCTTGGTAGGTCATTTATCATTAAATTAAACAGTAAGGGACCTAAGTTACTGCCCTGGCTCCCCCCGGACCTCGTGTAATACGGCTCAGAATAGTCCCCGCCACGCCACGTATTGGCGCCTATCTCTAAAGTATGTGGAAAAGAATTCCAGAGTGTGTAGCGTAAAGCCTATTCCAGCAAGTTTCCTAAGGAGGACATCGTGATCAACTGTATCAAATGCTTTTTTGAAATCTAGGTAAGCTACGTCCACCTGCCGACCAGCATCAACTGCAGGCACCACTTGCGTCATCAACTGCATTAAGTTGCCCGTTGTTCCCCGACCGGGGCGAAAGCCATGCTGAGCATCAGTCAGGTGGGCGCTTACCTGAGAATATAGATGGTTATGGATCATTGACTCGAAAACCTTAGCTGGAGCACATAGGACTGCCACAGGCCTATAGTCGCTGGCATTTGTACCTCCACCACCTTTCGGTACGGGTACGACTCGAGAAAGTTTCCATGGGTCAGGAAACCTCCCAGCTGCAATAAAGATGTTAAATAAATGTAGTAATGGTTCGACTAAAACCATGCGACAATCCCTGAGTATGAAAGGTGGTATACCATCCGGCCCCACTGATCGCTTAGGTGGTAGACGAGCGAGCGTTATATACAGTTTGAAAGTATCGGGCATACTCCTCCGCGCATTCTCCCCCCGATAGCACCTCTCCATTTTTTAATATCGTGTTTTGACCTGAGTTTCCCCTTTTCAGTCGTATATAGTTCCAAAAAGCTTTAGGGTCATTGGCCAGATGGTTCTGTACGCGGTCCCTATACCGATTGTGGGCTAGCTCTGTTTCCATCTTAATCTTCGCTCTGTACCGAGAGAACTGCTCATAATCACATATATTGACATAATTTTGACATACCTTATTTTTATTATTTTATTATTATTGTACAAATTTAACTGAAATTGTAATATTCTAATAATGTTTCAAATGCATGTACCTAATATATTTGTATGTCTATCACGGCAAAACATAGTGGACTATCTTTATATGTAAGACCTTATTATGTAAACTACCTATGTTTTACAAATAAATGATTCTGATTCTGATTCTGAATCACTGGAATTTTTACTGGCCTTATATTTTTTGTGTAGTAAATACTTTGTTTTAATATCCCTAATAATATCCGATGTGTACCATACTGGGTAATTATATCTATTGTTACGATTATTCTGTTTTTTAATAGGTGCGCAGGTATCAAAGACTTCGTTCATCTTTGTATAGAAGAAATTTAAAACCTCTTCAGGAACTTGCATATTCCCCTTTTCAGTCGTATATAGTTCCAAAAAGCTTTAGGGTCATTGGCCAGATGGTTCTGTACGCGGTCCCTATACCGATTGTGGGCTAGCTCTGTTTCCATCTTAATCTTCGCTCTGTACCGAGAGAACTGCTCATAATCACATATATTGACATAATTTTGACATACCTTATTTTTATTATTTTATTATTATTGTACAAATTTAACTGAAATTGTAATATTCTAATAATGTTTCAAATGCATGTACCTAATATATTTGTATGTCTATCACGGCAAAACATAGTGGACTATCTTTATATGTAAGACCTTATTATGTAAACTACCTATGTTTTACAAATAAATGATTCTGATTCTGATTCTGAATCACTGGAATTTTTACTGGCCTTATATTTTTTGTGTAGTAAATACTTTGTTTTAATATCCCTAATAATATCCGATGTGTACCATACTGGGTAATTATATCTATTGTTACGATTATTCTGTTTTTTAATAGGTGCGCAGGTATCAAAGACTTCGTTCATCTTTGTATAGAAGAAATTTAAAACCTCTTCAGGAACTTGCATAAGTACTATACATTTCTTCCTAGTGTATTCTACCTATCAAATAATATAAATAATTGAAGTCTACCTTGTGAAAGTTCCAACATCTATATGGGTTAAGGTGTTGTGAGTCCTGCGCATGCGCCAAGTTGGCCGCAGCCGAATGGAGAATCGGCGAAGACTGCGCTTGCGTGGCGACGTCCACGACCGCGAGCGGCGGGTGGTACGCGTCACGTCCACGGCCGCGAGCGGCGGGTGGTACGCGTCCACAGGCTGCAACCCCTCCTCCGCCGCCCACACCTCTGTACCGCTGCGCCCGCTCAATACTAAATCCAACTGTCTACCACTACAATTAGGTACATTATTGCACTGAACGAGTTCACAAAAGGCAACAAAATATTCAAAATAATTTTTAACATTGTTATTGCACGAAAACATATTAAAATCTCCAAGTATAACTACATTATTCTTATATCTAATACAAATTTGCTCTAATAAGTTAAATAGTAACATATATTCAGACTCTTCACAGTTTGGTGGAATATAGATTACACAACACGCGAATAAAAATCTACTCTTTAGATGTATGGTAGCACAAAGTATTTCAAAGTTATAATTGTCAATATTGATATCACTGGGTATCGGTACCTGCCGTAACTCGAAGCGCGGTGTGGCCGCTAAAAGTACACCGCCTTGCTTGCGGCCGTCCGCTCGATCACATCGCAACGTCTGATAATTTGGTAAAGTTATTTCCGCATTATGTATTGACACATTACACCCCGTCTCAGTTATTGCAAATAAATCCGAACTCGACGATTGTAACAAAGAAAGGACCTTAGTTGTCTTCGTCCTTAGCCCACGAACATTTTGGTATAAAATGTCGATTCTTCGACTACGCTGATTGAGGTTCTTTTTCTGAGGCGGGTGGGCGACGAAACCAAATCCATTCGCTGAATTCAACGTTAACTGGCCATATATCTGGATGAGATAGTTTCTCATAGTTTTCCTCTGATAATCCTATTTTAAATGAAGCGTAGTCTCTTTCGATCCTGGGTATTATTTTCTGTATTTTTAATTCTATGTTATTTCCTAGAACATTCTTTATGTATTCACTCAAGCTCTCCTCAGTAGTACTTTTATCCAACCTCCATACATGAAGAAATTTTTTACGCTCCACAGCCTTTAACAATGAAGTTGACTTGTTGCCGCCTCGTTTTATTGGATTATTTCTTTTCGTATTTGTCACTTCTATCCATTTGTGGTTTATACTATCACTGTTTCCTGTAATCGCCGTACTTCGTGCCATAGTCGCGTAGCTAACAATAGGTGGCCCTGCGGTGACAGCAGCGGCGCGCGGTCTGCATGCTGCGTAGAGTAGGGCCCAGCATACGACGACGACGGTGCGGGCGCCCGTGGCGGCTGCGGTGACGGATTTCGGTCACTGGCCGTGTTATCGATATTATTTGGTCCTAGTTTATCACTGTTTACCAAATTTAGAGACTTTCCAGTTTTTATTTTTAGAACCTTAATCTCTTCTGTTAAGTAAATACATTTATCATTGGGCCACTCTCAACTCCTCTCTCAATTTGCTGTTTTCGAGAGCCAATGATGTTACAGATCTTTTAAATTCAGTTATAATCTTTTCTTCAAAGATCTTGAATGTCTCCGTCATAACTTCCTTTACCATATCAACAATACTGGGCGTATTCTCTTCTTCGTACCGTATACTAGCTTCGGTAATGACACCGCGTACTGGGGTCTCACGGTTACGCGTACACGGTTAGTCATATTCAAGCATGAATCACATTTGAATTTAGCTTCCAATTCAGTTTTTTGCTCCATAAACACAGCAGAAGTAATATTTACACAGCTATAATGAAATCCTTTCTTGCACCCTGTACATCTAAGCGATTCGCCTAGTGCAATTCTTTTCTTGCAAAGTAGGCACAACATTTTGAATTGCAAGTTCACTGTGCGAACAGGCTAGCAAGAGTCCCTTTTGGCGAGAGTGAGCGAGCTAGATGCACGGCTCAAAATTTCGCGCCATAGTCCTATGCACAGACTCATGGCCTACTGTACAATGTTGCTAAGAGCGAATTCATGGTCTTTAACTCGTCGAGTACCGGTTTTGTAGACACAATTATAGAAAAATAGGTTGCGGTCACCGGTGACCGATTGGTGTTTGACAGTTTAAGGCGAGTGGTGGTAAATGTCCAGATTCTGTACCTGCAATTAGGCTTAATGGTAATGAACTAAATCGTGTTTACCAGTTCAAATACCTGGGTCATTACGTGACCGACGACCTTAGGGACCATGTAGACATTGAGCGGGAACGTAGGGCGCTGGCAGTTCGATGTAATATGCTGGCGCGCAGGTTTGCGCGT